TTTTTTCTTTAGGTCACGAGCAGTTGTCTAAGCATTTCACTGCATATCGTGCTGTGTATGTGACAAATACAATTTGAATTTGAATTTGTTTGATAGTTAGCTTAACGCTTATTCTTATCTTCGGCTTTTAATTCATTTTTAATTTTTTGACTGTTTTGTTCTCTACACTTAGCCTTCTCTTATGCTTTTATATGCAATTCTTTTGCCTTCGTGTGTTTTAATGCCATTCAACCTGCTAGCATGTTTTGGTACCTTGCCATAGCCCTCATCCTTCCCTGTTACTTCATCTTACCCTCTTGCATGTTAAGCACTTTGGTACACCGCTGGTTTTTAAATGTGCTACATAAATAAAGTTTGTTGTTGTTGTTGTTGTTCAATGCAACAAAATTCACAGTGAAACTGGTCTCATGTACGTTTTTCTGTTTCTGTTGTCAGATAAGAGAACGTCCGAAACATCTCAAACGCAGCCCACAAACATCAGGACAAACCAAACAAACTCAAGCCATTCACCAAACTCTGCATTCTCAAATGTTCTGGGCTCGATTAAAGTTTGCAGATCTGGATCTCGAGTCTTCAGCCAGCCTTTTAAACCTGAAGTCAGATCCTATGAGAGATCACAGATGGTGTCTTTCGATTTCCTCACATCGCATATTTCAGCCCTGTTGACCCAAATAAATGTGGAAACATCTGGAGGATTGTCCAGCAGAATCCCAGATCGACTGCATTCTCTAGCAGGATTTTCCTGGATAACACTGCCTTTGGAGACGTCTCAGGGTATGTAAGAATGGTCCCAGTCGTCATACGCTGAGCAAACGGATGTATATTTTTATGAATTATATTACAGGTGCATTATAGAGTTCTTGGAACTAAATAATACTTATTCTTTACGAGTCAAACAACTTGTCAAGCTCTAAAAATACTTCTAATTTTCCAAACACCCCTGATTAGTAGGCTGCCACCATCACACCAGGAACAGCAAATTTAAGACATTAAAAATTAAGTTATTAATGACTTTGCTGGGACTTTTAGAGCTACCCTGAGAGCTGTAATAGAGCCGCTGGTAAGCCTTTCTTGGACCCTGGGCTACATGTTTGACACCACTGTCTTATACCTCTGTCTGAGCTTATACTGATGTGTTTAGGGGTAAACAGTGACTTAAGGAAAAAGCTTTAACCATGATTAGTAGAGGCTAAAATCCAGATGCTAAAGAAGTGGACTGCGCACTAACAGAATTCCTGAGGTTGGGCAAGAGGTGTCTTTGCAGGAAACCCTTAGACACCCCTCGAATTGGTGGGTGTGTTGCCAGGTTCCTCCTACAGAAATTATATTTGTGTGTCTAGATTGTATTAACAGAACAATCTGGCAACTCTGTGACATTAGACGAACACGTGTACGCCAATTACACAAACGATGTTTGAAAGTTATGTAAGTGAGAGAAACAGGAAAACAGAGACTTTAAAATAAACATGAAACCAGAAAACTGGGAGTGTGGAACATCTTATTACAGATGTGTCAGCAATTTCCACATCTGGGAGCCTGCTAGGGCCCACTTGGGTCTGAGTGATGTACATGTTAGGTACTCGGTGCTCGCTGCAGTCTTGTTCTGAACGACAGGTGTCACTACTCGCTTTTTGATTCAGCGCTGGATGCGAAGGAACTAAAGACGATGAAACAGGGACAAAGCAGTAGCGGAGTTCTTTTCAAAGTTTTCTCCTAAAAGTTTCCAAATCGATGCACCGCAGTACTGTGGTGGATGTGGCTCAGGCATGAGAGCAAGTAGAGCAGGGGTGTCCAACTCCAGGCCTCGAGGGTCGGTGTCCTGCAGGTTTTAGATCTAACCCACGGTCAACACACCTGAATCAAATGATTAGCTCATTACCAGGCTTCTGGAGAACTTCAGGACATGTTGAGGAGGTAATTTAGTCATTTAAATCAGCTGTGTTGGATCAAGGACACATCTAAACCTGCAGGATACCGGCCCTCGAGGCCCGGAGTTCGACACCTGTGAAGTAGAGAATGACAGGGTTCAGTCTCTGGCTACTACAGCCTGCATGCTGAAGCAACCCCGTACAAGACAATGAACACCTGCAAGTGTCACTAGTTTATTGTCCACAAACCACCACCTGAGAAGTGAAACGCTGGCCTGTCGACACAGTCCTCCTGTGCATTTCCAGCTACTTTATCGCTGAGGCTTTCAAATGTATCTTCTCAAACTGGATATGAAGCAATGCAGAAAGAAGTGGAAAAAGTAGAAGGACAAATACGTTTGCCTCTAAAAATAACACAAAGAACAGGCACCCAGCCACCGGGACACAAGGTAACTGACGCATAACACACTTGGATAAATACCGACAACGATGTCGCCAACTTACGTACAAAGATTCGCAGCAGACGTCTGAAACAGGCCTGAGACGAGCTGCGTGCGTATGTGCTTGTGTGGTTGGGCGAATGAGGCTTGTAGTAAAAAGTAAAATATAAGTACTATTCCATTTTAACATGTTTATATATTCAGAAATAGTACACTTGGGCCCTTAGTCTGTCCACGCAGCGCATTACAAAAATAAAGAGGTGTAAAACGAAACTACACCGAAGCTGTAAATTCACAATCATGCTGCTGTTTTCGACACTCTGATATTCTGATCTCCACTGGACCCCCCCTTCCTCGTTAGGGTCCCCCAATAATAGAAATCCTGTAAGCACCCCTGGCCATAACAGGACTGCTGCTTCAGTGCAGCAAGTTTATGTCCCCGAGCCTGCAAATAAACCCCGACATGACAGCTCTGCAGCGTGCACCATATGCCCCATCGTCCCAGCTTACCTGTGTCCTGTCTGAACTGGTGCATGGACTGGAGATCTATGATGTAGGGCGAGAGCCGGCTGTCCACCTGGCCGAGCACCACGCTCCCTCCGCGGGGGTCGCTGCTCCGGATGGCCGCCTCTATCTGGTGGGAGACGGCGGGGCTGTAGGGCCGCCACCGGCCGTGTTCGTTCAGCCATTCCCACACCACCACGGCAGAGGCCAGGAGCATGTTGTTACTGTTGGCCCTGGAGGGGAGAAGCACAGATGAAACGACAAGAAAACAGTGAGAAGCAGCAGCGCCGTGGAGGTAAAACAGGAGGAGGCTGTTAGCCCAAATAAAGGCAAGCAGAGGCCAAAAGCGCAGCGAACGGGCTGAAATTCTCCGCTATAATCCCTCCGTTTCAGCCACGATCGCTCCCTGTCTGTGCGAGCCAGTGTCGTGATAAATAACAAAGGCCCGAGCCTGAAACGAAGCCAGGCTGGGGGACTTACATGGAGCCGAGGCTGAGCTAACGCCGGGAGAAGGCGGCGCATTCTTCCACGAAGATCCGAGCTCCGCGCATGGCCGCGGGGAGAAGGAAATCACGGCCCCCGCTCAGCCTGCCTTTGTTAGACCACCGACACGCTGCGCTAAAACACACTGACACACACGCAGAGCTCGGCGGCCTGGTGCGGAGGCTCCTGTGCGCTGGGGTAACTCCAGTCTCGGCCTCGGTGCCGCGTAAAAATAAAAAAATAATAAAGCCGCTGATTCCTTTTGCTGGGTGTAGACAGCAACAGCTAGTGTGTGTGTTTGTGGGTGTGTGTGTGTGTGTGTGTGCCTTCCTTCTGTAGTTTGGGGCGTTGCAAACAGAAACGTTGAGAAAGTAGCTTCCAGCAGCGCAACCTCAGAAAGAACAACTGCCAGACCCTGAACAGGTTCGACCGGTCCCTGATTGTCACTCAAAACAAATAAACATCTGTTTATGAAGGCAGTGAAGGAAACGTTGTATATGCACACCAGTGATTTTCTCCCCACCCTCTCACTAAACTTTAGCAGACACAGAGCTTTATGCGGGGACAGCTTTGTTGACTTTGGACAAAAATGTGGACGAGAAGAATGAAACATTAATAACTTGGTTATAAGCAGTGGTTACAACTAAACACACAGAGGTGTGAGGGCCAGAAGCAGCACACTGCGTGGCTGCGTAAAGTGGGACGACTGCAGCAAAGTCTAGGAAAAAATGTTCTGCTGTTCCTGGAGTGGTGATGTTGGAGAAGCCACAGAGAAGCCGCCGGAGAAGCAGACTGGCCATCCGGGACACTTGACGGGCTAATGTGACGTATACAAGGTCACTTAGGCTAAACCTGTGTGTTATTTAAGGCTGTTAAAGTACAGTTCAGTCATATTACTGAATAACTAGAGATGTTTAAAGAATTATTCGTGGTTTGTTTCTATTTGGGAACACCCCCCTCAAAAAAAAAAAAACCCCAAAACAAACCACTAGCAGTGGAGAGTCTGCATCCATGACTCAATTTTAAATGCTGGTTGACACTATGTCACTGTGACACTATTAGCGACACTATGTTCATCTTAAATAGAAATTATCCAGATTATTAATGTCAACAAAATCTGAACCTGAGATCAGAGTCTGGTGATGTCACCATTGTGAATTTTGTGCATTTTGTTTATGACAAGAATTAACCACAAATATCACAAATCTTCACCCACCCAACCCAGTCTCGTGGCAGTGAAATAATCACGACCTCTGTTGTTCATGGGTTCATTCATTGAGCAGATTCGTGTCTGTGTAGCTACAGAAAATTAATATTTTCGACTGTAAAGCGAGGCACGCCCCTGTTGGACAGGATAGAGGAGATGCTGTTGTATTACACAGATTTGGTCACGTCAAATATGACAGTTCTAGTCCTTCACGTGACACTGCATTTGATTATTAGTGAAATAACAATAAAGGGTAGACACTGAGGAGAAAAAGACGGGGGGAGGCAGGCTGCGTGCGCGCACCTCTGTGCGTATTTGGCGTGCGCTGCAGCGAGAGCCGAACAGACTAAAGCGAGGATGAAGTGTTGATTTTGAGATTCTTTCAGCTGATTCCTGCTTCCCATAAGACTTCTGCTACAGTCGGCCATTCACGGCCGTATAAGGTGACCCCCAGGGCACCGGGAAATGACCGCTGGACACTCTTCAAGGCGCACGAGTGCGCACGCCAAAGATGCAGACACATGCAGACAAATGCACACATGCAGCTTCTGACTCTCCCTGTATGTTCTCTCGCTCAGACAGGCCACCTGTACCTGCACCTTGATTAGTAGATCAAGTAGGAAAAATGGAAAAGGAGAGGCAGAGGAGAGATGGAGACAATCCGAACGCCGATCCAGTTCTTTTGGTAGCTAATGTTTGAAATTCTGAAATAATTTTGAAATCTGGAGGAATGTCCACTCAGACGGACACATTTCACCAGCAGCAGGAGGGGTCCAAAATAAAATAAAAAATTATATAAACAAGAAATAGACGAAACAGCTTTAACAATGTCGCCACGGCTCGATACTAAACCCACAATCACTTCATTTTCAGCAGCCTGCAAAATTCACAAACGCGATTTCTCATTCCTGCTTTTAAAAAAATCATATTCTCAGTAATACTAGCTCTTCTTGTATCGCAAAGAAAAAGCTAAAGGTTTGTGAGGGCAGGTCGGCCTGAAATACTCACTCCTCTACAGCTTTGATCTACGCACAAACGTTAGTACTTGTATAAAACACTCACCTGTTGATACGATCTTCTGCGTCCACACACTCCAAGACTTTCGGAACAAAATCCCGGTTCTTCATGAATGAAAATCTATCCTTTCGGCTCAACCATGGCTCATTTCTTTCTCCCCCTCTCTACCCAACAAAGGAAAAACACTCTTCGTTTTCTTCTCTTATTTAGAAATCTGAAAAATACACTATCCAAAAAGTCAGGAAGTAGAACCCATCTAAAGGGTTAAAAGTGGGAAAATGGTGCCTCCATTATGTGATGAAATTAATCTGGCACGTATCCCTTCGCCTCCATCTTCACTAACACACTGTGGCGAAAAACTATGAGGCTCCAGAGGGGACCCCACCAGCTCCTGCCCCCTCACTCCACGCCCAGAAACGCACCAGTGTGGACGCAAAGAAAGAGAACACATTCAGCTTCTGTTTACTGACCTGCTTACTTTTTGTAACACGCGCACAGGTGGAATATGATTTCAAATGTAAAATTAAACCCTTTTCTATGTGTTGGGAATTCACTGAAAATTTTTTTTTTAAAAGAAAGGGGTTTAGGGAAGTTGTCGTCTTTGTGTGGGTGGTCGCACACTGCCGTCTAGTGGAGGACATGGAATTACATCTAGATTTTTCTATTTAAACTGAAAATATTTAAATTGAAATCACAGAATAACGAAAACTCAGTTGCACGTTTATCAACTTTTAGAAGCCGATTAGACGTTTTTAAAGTCTTAAGTCATTTGTCTTCATCTCTACGTCTCTACTTTTTCATATGTATGTTTCAATTAGCTTCCACTGATGACGTGTGTAACCAGGATTCAAAAATGTCTGTTTTACTTAATAATTATATCGTAAAACATAATGGCGCTTTGGGTCTTCTGATATACTTCTGGAAAGTCAGTTGTACTAACTTGATTCTAACTATTTTGCCAATACTGGCGGCTGTCGCTTTCGTCCCAGGCTCCATAGCTCAGGGGTTAGAGCACTGGTCTTGTAAACCAGGGGTCGCGAGTTCAAATCTCGCTGGGGCCTGTGAATCATTTTCTGTTTTCATTCTTAGTTTAGTGTCTTGGACACTTCTAGGCGACCCAGCAAGGTTCCCTAGAATTTAGCGTTTTCTTTTATCTCATTACAGGTGAAGACCCAGAAAACCAAAATAAATTATTACAAAACAAAATTCCTACCTTGGTTCTATGGAGGACCACAAGAGCCACGCGCATCGAAATAAAGAATTCTGTGCTTTTTGAATTGTAGAAGAAGTTCTTCGTCATTCGTTCATTCTTGTTAATGTAATGTAGCCTGATTCTCTGTTTACAAATCAGGTAGTGTAAAGATTGCAACCAGAGAAAGTTGCTGTTGTGGTATTTCTGCGTCTGTATAAATGCATTTTGTAGCTGCATACAGTTTAGTAAAGGTAGCAGTTTGTAACAGGGAGCTAGCCAGCTAGCCAAGTTCTGTCACGTTGGTCACTCCCCTGTATTTTCAAACGCTTCAGAGCTAGCATAAAACAGGAAGTTAGCATTTTCTCGTGCACAGGGTCTATTGTAAAGGCTATAAACACTGTAAACGACTCTGTGCCATTAACGTAGATCCGGACCAGTTTATAAAAAAAACACCAAACAATATAATCATATAGCACGTGTCTCCTCATATACAGCATTTGTGTGAGGTTGTGCAGAGCCCGGATAGCTCAGTCGGTAGAGCATCAGACTTTTAATCTGAGGGTCCAGGGTTCAAGTCCCTGTTCGGGCGGAAGAGTTTTTGCTTCTTCACCGTTTTTCGGTCTGTGGTGTGTGTTTATAATAATAATGTATACTTTATTGATCACCGTGGGGAAATTCCTCTCTGCGTTTAACCCATTCACTCTGTGAAGCAGTATGGCATGCAGGGGTGAAAACTACGCTTTGTTTGGAGCCGGGTTGTGTTACTCCAATAGTGAATTAAAATAATTTTTAATTATTTATGAGGCCATTCTCACCCCAGCTTTACACTTGTTAGCTTAACTTAAAAAAAACTTAAAATTAAAAAAAAAATTGTATTTATTTCTTATACACTTCAGTTTATTTCTAAGAAAACCAACGCCCTCCAGTATCTGCTTGTTGCCTTATCTTGGTGTCTCCAGATGTATTGAAGTTCATAGCTTTGTAAGATATGTGGGGAACTAAATAACTGAGCAACATGGATAATAACATCACAAAGACTTAACTTTTTTTTTTTTTGCATTTATAAGCAAAATAGCAACAAATCATTTTAACTACTTGAAGGAAAAAATACAGTGCATTAAGCAACCCAACATAAGAATGCCATAAATAAGAAGTGGAAGAAAAACAAAGAATCTACACTTTATACACAAAATAAAAACCCAGACATAGACACACAGGTTGTATATATACAAATACAACATTAATACATGAATCCATGTAATAGTGAGCATAAACTGTCAGCTGTGAAAGTGTAGTTGGCGTCGGAGTTGTATTACTAGTATTTGTCATATATTTACGGGTGATGTCAGCATCTGGTCCGGATGGCGGTCTTCTTCTTCTTCTCCTTCGCCCGAGCTTTCCAGTGGGTGACACAAACAGCCAGTACCATAATCACGAGGATGAAACCCGCGATCATGCAGTACCAGTGATTAAAAAGAAGCCGAGATGAACCTGAAACCGATGACAAACAGACAAAATAAAGGTGAAACACGAGGGTGAAACATGTTCTGAGACATGAAGTCCTGCATCACCTCTGACTGGTTCTCTTTCTTTCAGTGTAAACAAGTTTAACTCCACATTTATTCCCGGAGACTTCTTAATATAAAAAATGTGATTTAAACAACATTAGAAAGAAATGCAGCTGTTAATCAAAGAAGTTCATCAGGTTAATGCTTCATCTCTTACTTGGGTGTAGTCTGACAGGCCATGGGTCGTGTCATTAGTAAGAAGGCCGTAACACTGACCTCAGTACAGTAAAAAGTGAAATTTTCAGAAGCCAGTGAGTGGGATGAACTGGATCCTTTCCCAGACCAGTTCTGTCTCCAGGCCATTTGTCTGACACCCCCGTTTTAGACCACACTTCACTCGACATCTTTCTAAAAAACCTGTTCATGAATCCGTCTCGTTCAGGCTGGAGTCCGAGCAAACGTTTAGAAGTTGCATAATTTCTC